AATCGCATCTGCAATCTGGCCTGTCTCAGCAACCTCAGATCACTGTCCTAACTTGGGGAAACTAAACGTTTCTCCTGTCCTATGCTACAGGTGCATTTTGACATAACTTCTGCCTAAAAAGGCTTATTAATTTTTATCATCATAACAGCACTCATGTGTAAATCATTTTGAACATTTTTGAAAGTAAATACGTATCTTTAGATGTCTCCAGAGCTTGAGCACTTTTAGAATCCTCAGCCACATTATGGATTTAGAAAGGATCCAGGGAGACCCTACTGTGGACATTTCTTTGATGAGAATTTTAAGTGCTCAATCCGCCTTTCTTAGAAAAGGGGATGACTACCTTCTAGCCCCAAACTTACTGAAAGGAACTTCAAAGAAACAGTTCAGGGAGCTCTGAAATATGTTTCCAAGTGCTCTGGTGGGCAGTGAGGACTACTCTGACATCTCCCTGCACTCAAGAATTTACTCCCTGTGGGATGTGAGAATGTTTCCAGTGGCCCAAATGTAAGCCACTCAGGAGAGCCCATAGGGATTAGAGGCCCAGAAGTAAAGAAGAAAACAAAACAAACAAACAAACAAAAAATAAGGCCCGGTATGGTAGCTTAGCGGCTGACGTCCTGGCCTTGCATGCCAGTTCTAATCCTGACAGCCCAACTTTCCATCCAGCTCCCTGCTTGTGGCCTGGGAAAGCAGTCGAGGACGGCCCAAAGCCTTGGGACCCTGCACCCGTGTGTGTGGGAGACCCGGAAGAGAATCCAGGCTCCTGGCTTCAGATTGGTGCAAGCACTGATCATTGCAACTGCTTGGGGAGTGAATCAGAGGATGGAAGATCTCTCTCTCTCCTTCTCTCTGTATATCTGACTTTCCAATAAAAATAAATATTTCCAAACAAAACAGCATAAACAGGTAGAAACTTGCTAGTAAGTGAATAGAAGTGCCCCCCCCCCTTTTTTTAATTGGAGAGGCATATTTACGGAAAGAATGAGACAGAGAGAAAGATCTTCCATCTGCTAGTTCATTTCTCAAAGGGCTGTAATGGCTGGAACTGAGCTGTTCTGAAGCCAGGAATCAGATTCTTTCAGATTTCCCATGTGGGTGCAGGGTTCCAAAGCTGTCCTCCACCTCTTTCCCAGGCCACAAGCAGGGAGCTGGATGGGAAGTGAAGCACCTAGACATGAACTGATGTCCATATTAGATCCTAGTCCATGAAGGACTAGAAGGCCAACTGAGCCTTGTTCCAGGCCCTAGAAGTGACTAGTTTTGAGACAGATCCAGTAGATTCAAGGGAATCAAAGTTCTTCCTGGGTAACCTCCCAAGAGCTTCTACATGTGCCCCACAAGAAGCAGCTGTATTTAGTCTTCTGCTGGGCCCATCAACTGTGAAGCAGCTCCACCGTGACAGAACCATCCATCCCCACATCTCTCAACAGGCTTTCCTCCTGTCTGTCCTTGAGGAATGGAAATTGCAGCCAACCAGCCAAACATATCCAGAAAGAAAGCAGAGATTAGAGGGATCATGCCCCCGCCACTGACAGGTGACAGCCCAAAGCAGCCTTAAGTATGGAAGAAGAGTCAAGGTTCAGTCAAGTTTTTTTTTTCTTCCAGATTTATTATTTAATTTACTGAGAGACAGTTGGTTCATTCTCCAAATGTCTGCAACAACCAGGGGTGGACCAGGCTAAAGCCAAGAGGTCAATCCACATCTCCCACTCGGGTGACCTGGAACCAAGCATTTACGCCATCTCCTGCTGCCTCCAAGTGTGACCCTTGGCAGGAAGTTGGAATTGGGAGAAGGGCCAAGACTCAAATCCAGATTCTTCAATTTGGAATCAGGGCATCCCAACTGGCATCCTTACTAGGCAAAGCCTCTGCACCCCCCCCAAACTTCTCAGCAACTATTCTAAAGCACTGGACACTTCACTTACTACCTCTACATAATTAAGGACCTAAAAAGAAAAGCTGTATACTATTTAAATTTCAAATCAGATACCTTGCCTCCTCTACCAACTTGCACACACATCTTTCTCATGGATTTTTCCCATTCAGGGCTGCACTGTGGTATAGCAGGTAAAACTACCACCTGCAATGCCAGCAAGACACAGGGCCTCGGGTTCATGTTCCTGATGCTCCACTTCTAGTCTAACTCTGCTGGTGGCCTGCGAAGGTCCAGGTCCTTGCTCTGTGCCATCCATGTGGGAGACAAATGAAGGTCCTGGCTTTTGCCTAACTCAACTCTATTATAGCCACTTGGAGAATGAGCCAGCAGATGGAAGGTCTCTTTCAATCTCCCTCCTTCAAATAAAACCTTTACAAAATCCCCCTTGTTGCTATTTACTGCTTTATTGCTTCCATCCTTGATTTCCAAGGTCTGTTCAGTCTTCACCCTACACTTTCTCATAGATTATGAACCAAGCTTTTGTTTCAAGATAAATTTGCATCTATTAATTTGCAAAATTATCTGAAACTCTTAACAATTGTATAATACATTAATTTGCTTTTCTTGCATGCATATGGTAGTGCAAAGTTTTAACCAAATTTCAGCCAAGACTAAGTGTAACAATCTGGAATTCAAAGAGCTGAATATAGTGGCTCATCATGGTTCACCTTTTATTATTTTTATTGGAAAGTCAGATAAACAGAGAGGAAGATCCTCCAACCATTGATTCACTTCCAAAGTGGCCACAACCAGAGCTGAGCAGATCAGAAGCCAAGAGCCAGGAGCCTCCTCTGGTCTCCCATGCAGGGTCCCAAGGCTCTGGGACTGCTTTCCTAGGCCACAAGCAGAAAGCTGGACCAAGCTTCCAAGCCTTTGGGTAAGCAGGACCTGGGCCAGGCGCTTCTCTGGGTCTCCCACACAGTGCCGAGGACCAGCTCTTGACCCACTGCTTTCCTGCACCATTAGCATGCAGCTGCATTAAAACTGGAGCAGCCAGGGCTTGAACTGGTGTCCACATGGAATGCTTTGCCGCTGCAGGCGGTAGCTTAAGCTTGTACTTCGCAAGCCCCAAAGTCTTTTTCTCACCCTTATTTCCAAATGCCTACTGGATCTTAACATTACCTATTATTTCCATTATTCTAAGCCTTAAAATGTCTCCTCCACAAATGTTCAGCAAATGAACTATCTCCTTTAATTAGTGAGACACCTAAACTTATCTAAAGGAATACTTCCCGATTAGTATTTCTGAAGCTTGCTACTTCACTGCTGCAACCACACAACCCTCAAAGATACACAAAACAATGCAGAAAGGCCTGGATTCCTCTGATTCACCTCCAATGATCTGTGCAGACACCTGCCTCCCACTCCTGCAGCAACCTCACTGCCTTTGCTGTAATATGGGCTATTTAAGAATCCTTGGTCAGGTTTTCCCGCTTCATCTAAACCTTCCACAAGAATCACACCAAAATGGTAACAATCATGACATCAGTGATATTCCAATCTCCAGAATGAATCCTTCTTGACCCCTGCCTACTCCTAAACCCTCTCTTCCCCAAACCCCTCCCATCATCCTGCCCTGACAGATCTGGTGACTGGCTGTAATTTTTGGCTGTTCCATTGCAGAGAAAGCCAATTAAGCTGTCCCACTGATGCCCAATTTGGCTCAAATCTTAGCATATTCATCCAGAGTTTTAACTCCTTTTAAGAATTCTCACAGGAATCTGTGCATTTATCTTTGCAGCATGTAAATTGTGTGCTCTATTGTTTTTAATTTACAAGCACAGGGCAATTATACACCATAAACCTCATCACCCTCTTCACCTGACCTAGTACCTCACTTTATGTAACGAGAAAAACCACCTTGTGAGGTATAGACATTCCAATTCCAACATGTGGGGTATTAGTGGGGACGAAGCAAGTCATTTCAGGTTGCAGGACCTGGTTAGATTGAAGGTGCTAAATGGGAAATTAAGGATACTTCTCACTGGACTTAAGAGTTAGCACGATGGTTCAATTGGCTAATTTTCCATCTGCAAGCACTAGCATTCCAAGCGGCTGTCCTGGGGGCTATATTTCCAACCCAGCTTCCTGTTTAGGGTCTTGCAATGTGGCAGAGAGAATTCCTTAAGTGTTTGGGACCCCATACCCACAATAAGACCTTTAGGAGGTCCCTAATCAGCTCAGCTCCAGCCATTGCAAGCATTTGGGCAATCAATGAATGAAAGATGCTTCAATCTCCCCCTCTGGAAATCTGCCCTTACCACCAAAAATGAATAAACATGCAGAGCCTATATTCTGGGAACACCTGGGGGCTTTGAAGTGATCAGGCACATCAGCCATTATCTCACTAAAGCACGCGTGGCGCAAACCTTAACATCATGCACCCTCGCCCTCCCCCTTAGACCAACTGCTTTGCTTTTTTGATCCTACATTGCACATTGGATCAGTGCCCAATTGTGCATTCTCCATAAACAAACAAAAAAAACCCCAAAAGATTTGGAGAGGAGGTAAAGATCTTCCATCCTCTGATTCATTCCTCAAGAAACCACTATGGCCTGGAGCTGCACTGATCTGAAGCCAGGAGCCTCTTCCAGGTCTCCCGCAGGCGCAGGGTCCCAATGCAGGCCATCCTCTACTGCTTTCCCAGGTTGTAAGAGAGCTGCAAAGGAAGTGGAATCGGTGCCCATATGGGATCCTGGCTCCTGCAAAACAAGGATTTAGCAGTCACAGAGCCACTGTGTTAGGCCCTCTCCAGAGAAAACTTGGTGAATAAATCGGTAGATTTCAATGTGAAAAGTCAGGACATGCCTATACACAGCCTTAAATCCTAGTTGCCTAATTTGTAAACTTTCATCTTTTTTTAATATAAAATCCATTCAACACCTGCTTGGTCTGCCACAGGAGCCATTATGACTGTACCTAATGGTATTTCCATGCTAGATGTACTCCCAAAAACCAGCTGATTTTGTAAATCTGAACCAAGCTGCCCCATTTTGCCAAAACGATAGCAACTCCAATTAACATATGAAACTAACAAAAAGATACCTTAGCACACAAGACAGTTTTTAAAACCAAAATATTTATTGCCTAATTGTTGGAATTCTTCTCAAGATGAACTGGATGCGGCAACAGCTGCCCTCTTGGGTTTAGGCGTTGTACCTTCACGGAATCCATGTCTGCATCACAGTAAAAGCAAAACAGGCCACTCAGCAACAGTACATACTTAATTTTTTTTGTTAAATCTATCTCAATGAGCTTATCTCAGTTAAATGTCAAAATCAGTATTGAATCATAAGTTCAGACATTTGTAATTGTAATTGAGCATCACAGATAAGCCATTGATTACCCCAATCTACCTAGATATCAATTTTAATTTATAATCGATCTCAATTGCAATAAAGGGTATGTGACTTACTTGGGTTACATCTTAGTAATTCCCTCGCAAACAAAAACCAAAAATATTTGAGATTTTTATCTACATTTACTAAGAAAGGTATTTTTTAATTTCACTTCTAGAGACAAGTGAATTGAGGCATTGAAAGATGAAGCTCATTAGGTGTGGTTCCAGCTCACCACACTAGCGTGTAAGACACGCATGAACTGCCTTGCAACCTGTAACAATACTCCAGGTATACAGCGGACAGCGGATCAAGGTATGAGATCTGTAAGACTGTCTTGGTTTTACACACAGGCCCGAGAAAAAAATCACTCAGTCTAGTATTTATAAAAGCACAGGCTTCCAAAGTGGAGGCAGAGGTTAAAGCGCTCGGTCCCTGCTCCATCTCTAACCCGGGAGGCCACAGAGAGCATTTCAGGTACCAAGGTTCCTACACCTATGTGGGAGCCCAGGACTGCAGTGCTGAGGTTTCAGCCTGACCCAGTCCACGGGCACCAGGGAGCCTCATGCAGACGAGGCCTGAATGCTTCCCCATTTCAAACAGATCGCATCCCTTTGCGTTCTTCCAAACCCTCATCATTCTCCACGTCAGCTCTAACTCAGAACAGACTAGCTTCAGAAATCACTGTGAAAATGCAAGCTCTCAGTGGGATCCCATGGCATTTCAAATTCCGCATTTTTAGCCGACTCTGCTACAGCCTGAACGTACAGTACGGTCTCACACAGAACCCTTCCCTGCAGCCCTCCTCCCAAGATGCAGGCTAAACTACTCCGTGGAGAACAGCGTACCTGAACCTGCGGTACACGATTTTGAGGTGCCTCATCCGGCCGGTCCCCGTGGTGTTGCGTCTTTTAGCCTTAGCACTCCAGTTATCTGCAACGCAAGGGCAAGGGAGGTTGTAGGCGGTGTTGCCCACGTCTGATTTCAGGGCAGCTTTACTGGGGGGGCCCCCTCCCCGACTCACACTTCCTCTTGCGCTTGGCAGGGTAGCCGCACTTGCCGCAGGTGGACTTCTGCAGGTGGTAGGCCTTGGAGCCGCAGCGGCGGCACAGCGTGTGCGTCTTGTTGCGACGCTTCCCGAACGACGACGTTCCCTTCGTCTGCAGGGGAGAAAGGGGGGTCGCGGCTCAGCAGCCCCTCGGCACGCTGCCTGCGGCTACCGGCATGCCGCCCTGCAGGGACCCATCACGGTGACGGTCTCCATGTCACCCCGAGACGGGAGCATGCCGAGTCGGCTCCCACCGGCTGGCGCTGCACCCAAGGCTGAGCCCAGAACTGCACAGGCTAAGGGTCCCCGCACGGCACCTCGGCAGCCGAACTCCCTCCCCCTGCCGGCAAGCACACACACCATCTCTGCGCGCCCACAAGTCAGGGACCGGGCGAGGCTCCTAGCCCGGCGACTCAGGACTCGGACCCCGGGCAGACATCCCCCGATCCGGAGCCATTCTCCCAGACCTTGCAGCCACCGCAGGCCCCTTTTCTGCCCACCCGCTCCCTTCCATCCGGAACGCTGCCGGTCCCCTCAGGAAAGCGGGGCAGCGCAGCCCCGAGTCGGAGGATGGAAGACGATTCCGGGGCGCGCTAAGTAGAACTCACCATTTTGCCTCTACGGCCGAGACCAGAAAGGGCGGAAGGGGAGGCACTTCCGCTATATCACGCTCAGAAGCTTCCGCCCAGGGAAGCACTTCCTGCGGAGCGCGGCCTTCTCCCGGCATCGTCGCAGTGAGCGTGAGGATCAAGAGGCGGGGCCAGAGCCATAAGAGTCCAATCGGGAGTCAGCGTCCTTCGGTGGGCGGGGTCCCGCCACCAGGAAGGGGCGTGTCGGCTCTGAGCCGGCCTGGGCTGGAGTCGGCGTGTGGCGCGCGTAAGGTCCGCCCTGGGCTGCAGTTGCCGTCTTGCGCGCGTTGAGGGCCGGCCTCGGGCGCGTTGAGGGCCGGCCTCGGGCGCGTTGAGGGCCGGCCTCGGGCGCGTTGAGGGCTGGCGTCGGGCGTGGGAAGGGCCGGCCCTCTGTGTGTGTCCGTATCCCAGGCGTCACCGCCGCGTGGGCTCCGCTCTTCAGTCGTGGGGCGGGCGCAGAGTGTGGGTGTTCGCCGCCTGCGCTCGGCAGGACTGGGGCACTTGTCCGGGGGGCCCCCAGCTTCACCGAGCGGCTCTCGGCTCCCTCGGCTCGCAGCTTTCGGATTTATATTTTACTTATTTATTAAATAATTTTTATTTTAAGAAAAAGTTTCAGCGTTGCTGAGATTGCCTGTCTTTTCATGGCAACTGTAGGAAAAGCCTCTCCCAGCTTCTGGCGTCTGGCTAAGCTACGTGGTTTGTGGCCCGTGTCCAACTTCAAAGCCAGGCATGTGTTAGTAGTGTCTCTCCCACTTTGAAGGTCTCTTGTGATAACCTTGGTCCAACGGCGATCATTTCTCTATTTTATGATGACCTATAAGGCATTTCACATCCGTCTGCACCCTCAGTCACCGCCTGCCACCTAAGGCTTTCTCGGGCTCTGGGGGGTTAGCAGATGGAAGAGTCCAGGGGGAGGGGAGGGCGCCTGGCTGCTGCAGGCGTGCTGGGAAATGAGATGGTGTAGGAATGTCAGGCAAGTGTCAGCCACTGAGGAATCCAGCACAGGTGGGGGCACAGCCACTGTGGCAGGCGTTATGGAGGTTGCCAACTAACACCCTCAGAATCGAAAACATCGAGAAAATTCAATACTTTCCCCACTTCACCTTAATAGGTGCTTTTCTTTCTTTTTGAAGATTTGTTTTTTATTGGAAAGTCAGATATACAGACAGGAGGAAAGACAGAGAGGAAGATCTTCTGTCCAATGATTCACTCCCCAAGTGACCGCAATGGCCGGTGCTGCGCCATGCCAGAGCCAGGAGTTCCTTAAAGTCTCCCACACAGGTGCAGGGTTCCAAGGTTTTGGGCTGTCCTTGACTGCTTTCCCAGGCCACAGGCAGGGAGCTGGATGGAAAGTGGAGCTACCGGGATTAGAACCGGTGCCCATATGGAATCCCTGGTGCGTTTAAGGCGAGGACCCGAGGTGGTTCTTTGTTGTTGCTTTAATTTAGCCATGGTCAGATAAGCCCTCAGTCCACCAGCGAACCATGGAACGTCTCCAGATCCTCCAGGTTCCCATTCAGCTGCCAGGTTTAGATTCAGCAACAGCTTTTAAAATTTTTGCAATTTTTATTATTTTATGTATTTATATTTTATATATTATTTATGTTTTATATGTTTATGTCTATAATATTTTAAAAAGATTTATTTATTTTTATTGCAAAGACAGATATACATAGAGGCGGAGATACAGAAAAGATCTTCCATCTGATGATTCACTTTTTTTTAAAGATTTATTTATTTTTATTGGAAAGGCAGATATACAGAGAGGAGGAGAGACAGGAAGATCCTTCATCTGATGGTTCACTGTCCAAGTGGCCGCAATGGTTGGAGCTGAGCCAATCTGAAGCCAGGAGCTTCTTCCGGTCTCCCACATACGTGCTGGGTGCCAAGGCTTTGGGTCATCCTCGACTGCTTTCCCAAGCTACAAGCAGGGAGCTGGATGGGAAGCAGGGCCGCGGGGGATTAGGGGGTACCCATTTGGGATCCTGGCGCCTTTCAAGGTGAAGACTTTTATCTCGCTGGGCCCTAATGATTCACTGTTTTAGCTTGGCCCAGCTATGCTTCCAGCTTTTTGTTTGTTTCCCCCTGGTGGCAGGAAATATCTTCCAATTCTGAGATTGTTTCTTTTGCATCATTCATTCTATTTTGGAGACTCTCCACTGTACTTTTAATTTGCTCCATTGTATCCTTAACTTCTGAAATATCAGCTTTCATTGGATTCATTTCCTGTGGGACATATTGCTTAAATTCCTTGAACTCCTGTATCATGCGGGTCAGAATCTTTATTTTGAGTTTTCTGAATTCTGTGTCCCCCATTTCTCAATGTCTCCCTCAGTTAAACTCTGAGGGTGACAGCAGCTTTTGCCAGACTCTTGGGTAACATAGTGCCTCTGTCTTCTTTTTACATTTTGTCATTTCAGTCCTTGTTGGCAGATTCTTCTTAGCGCAGGTTCCAGGGTGTCCAAGTCGGTTTTTAGGTTCAGTCAGTGTCCTGGAATTGGAAGACGCCAGCTGTCCTAAACAGCTGATCTTGTTAAGTCTGCGTGCCTCCTGGAGTTCTTGTGGGCGGAGTCTGTAGGGTGCCTTCACGGAGCTATGTTTTCTGGGAAGGCTGTGTGCTGCTCTAAGCTGGAAGTGGTTTTGTTCCCAGGTTAGCTCTTGTGCAGCTCAGCTGACCTCCAGACTAACACTGCCTGGTTCTGTGAAAATGGCCTGATTATAATTTTTAAATGAATAAAACTTTTGAGGAAGTCTCCAAAAATCTTTAATAAAAACATAAGCTTAAGATTTTTTTTCAATATCAGAAAAATCAGAATTGGAATCATCATTACACTTAATTTCTAATACATCAGTGCATACTTAGGTTCATACATGACTTGATTTCATTTGCATTTTAATACTTACCTTTAGTAATACGTTAAATACTGATACACCCACTCTGCCAGGATGTCCTGTAGCTAAATGAACAGTCTCCACTCCCAAAAATCCCATTCTATCATTCTTAATGCTTTTTACATGATTTATTTTTCAGAATTATCTTTTTACATTTTTATTTGAGAGCCAGAGAGACAATCAAAAAGAGCCCCTTCAACTGCCAGTTCACTCTTGAATATTTACAAAAACCTGAATCCTGGAGCCCGGACCTGGTCTGGGTCTCTCACGTGGGTGTCAGGGTCCTCAGCAGTTGAGCACCTGCTACCTCCCAGGGTGCATAGTAACGAAAATCTGAATTACAACGGAGGTACAAGTAGAAACAGGCTTCCACCATAGGCCGGAGACACCCTAAACTTTACAGCTTTACTGAACTTTAACCCTCCTCTCTAAATGCAGCTTCAGTGACCATGTATTCATCTGTTCCTAAATGTGTGTTTGAGCCGTGCAGCTGTAAATAAGAACTAATTATGTAGAGTTTTAAAAAATAAAAATGAATTAAATACTAAATAGTTGTGCCTAAAATAGAAAGACTAAATTCCCCAGTAAACATATCCTCAGGGATATCCACTGTTAAAATTGAGGTTTTCTTTTCTAGACTGTTTTTTTCCCAATGTATTGTATAACTGTATAAATGCATAATAAATCATATACGTTAATTTTTAAAACAAATATGATCCATAATTGCAGTTTCCTATAACAACATATTATGGCTATCAGTACTTGTTAATATATAAAGAGACCTAGGGACAGGTGTTGTGGCATGGCAGGCTAAGCTGCCTCAGCACCAGCATCCTAATAGTAGAGTGCTGGTGTGAGTCTGCACTGCCCTGCTTCGGTCCAGTTTCCTGCTGGTGAAGCTGAAAAGGCAGCATGTAACCCAAGTGCATGCTTACTTGGAATTCCTGGATTCAGTTCCTGGCTCCTGGCCTCAACTTGACTTACCCCTGGGCCTTCGGGCAATTTGGGGAGTGACCCTACAGATGGAAGGTGCCTGTGTCTCCCTGTCACTCTGCCTTTCAAATGTATACAAAAATAAATATATGTGTATGTAGTAAATATGTTTGTATATATGTATATAAAGAGAGAGATACTCCATTCTTGAGGAAACACATGTGCCCGGTATAGAAGCCTAGTGACTAAAGTCCTCGCCTTGCACATGCCGGGATCCCATATGGGCATTGGTTTATGTCCTGGCAGCGCCACTCTCCATCCAGCTCCCTTCCTGAGGCCTGGGAAAGCAGTGGAGGACGGCCCAAAGCCTTGGGACCCTGCACCCACGAGGGAGACCTGGAGGAAGTTCCTGGCTCCCGGCTTTGGATTAGCTTGGCTCTGGTCCTTGGGGAATGAATCCGTGGATGGAAGATCTTTCTTTCTGTCTCTCCTTTTCTGTATCTCTGACTTTCCAATAAAACAAAATAAATCTTTAAAAGAAAAGAAAATGATTTATTTTACTTGAAAGATGGGAAGACAGAGATGTCTCATTGGCTGTTTTATTTCCCAGATGACCACAATGGCTGGAGCTGGACCAGGCCACTTGGGTTGCAGGGATCAAAGTATTTGTGCTGCCTTCTCAGTCACGTTAGTAGGGGACAGGACTGGAAAGAGCAGCTGGGACTCTGATGTGGGATGTGGGATGCAGGATAGTAAACTGTGGCTTCATCTGCAGCCCCTACTTCATTTCTTCATGGTTCTTTGATGTTTTCCAGTTATTTTCAATTTTCTGCTGTTACAAGTAGTGTTGTAATACTGTTTCTTTCTTGCTTTTTTTTTTTTTTTATTGGAAAGGCGGATATACAGAGAGGAGAGACAGAGAGGAAGATCTTCCATCTGATGATTCACTCCCCAAGTGAGCTCAACAGCCGGTCCAAAGCCAGGAGCCTCTTCCGGGTCTCCCACGCGGGTGCAGGGTCCCAAAGCTTTTGGGCCAACTGCTTTCCTGCGCCACAGGCAGGGAGCTGGATGGGAAGCGGGGCTGCCGGGATTAGAACCAGCGCCCATATGGGATCCCGGGCGTGCAAGGCGAGGACCTTAATCACTGCGCCATCACGCTGGGCCCTACTGTTTCTTTTACATTCATCTTTGTGCCTTTCTGGAATTATTTCATTTAAGATCATTTTCTAGTAGTGAATTGAAGGGTATGAGTTTTATTTATTTACTTATGAGGACCCTTCAAAAACCCAGTTTACATTCTTACCATCACTGCAGAGAGCTCAGAGCGGGGACTATCTTGTCAAGCCATCCTTTCAAAAGAGGCATTGTGGAAGAGGTGACTGGGCACTACCTCGTGATGAGATGCAGTCAGACCAGCAATAGAGCGGAAAAAATAATCTGCAGGGCGCCAGCATCGGAGTGCTGAGGGCTGGGCACCCCATTGTGCTCGTCCAACCCCTGACATCATTTACATACTGACTTTTTTTCCCTCCAGGTTATCCTTCAGAAGGATTTTGTAACACGCATTTCCTTGTGTGAAGAACACAGGAGCCATGGCCACCAAGAGTGTTCCATCAGAAACTGTAGAGAAAGAACGAGAAGCTCTGCTCAAACTCCTCCGGCATGACCCGGATTCCAGCCTAGACGTGTTGGTCTCTCGAGGGCTGACTGCCCGGGAGGGCTCTGAGGCTTTGGAGGATGTCACAGACCCCCGGAGGAAAAGTGGAGAGCTAGTCCTCCGGGTGCGGAGGGACGGGGCAGTGAACTGGCAGCCTTTTCCCCAGTGTTTATACAGTGCGTTTCCAGGGTCAGCTGCCGTTTGGCACCCGAACCCGAGTGGTGGTAAGTTGATTGTTTACACTTTGGAGGGCGTGACGGAGGGGATAGATTTTCTGGGAAAAAGAAAATGTTTGCCTTTCATTTGTGTTTGTCTTTTTCCCAAAGATAAGTTTCACTGAAGTGCGAAGGGGGAAAATACCTTGAAGGGAAATGAGCTTCTTCAGAAGGTTGAGAAAAGGCTGTTCAAACTGTCCCTCCAACTTGCAGCTGCCTCGGGGGTCAGTGCTCTGGCGCTGGTTGATACCCTGGACTCTCAGGGCGAGAGAAGGCTCTTACTAGTGGTGCTGTCTGAGGTCTCTTCCCTGTGAGTGAATGCACTGGGACTCGTGGTTCCAAGCAGTGTCTTTCACTTAGCATAGCTGTCTTGAAAATGTAGGGAAAAGCATGGACCTGATGCAGTAGCGTAGTGGCTAAAGTCCTTGCCTTGCACATGTTGGGATCTCATATAGGCGACAGTTCTAATCCTGGCAGCCCGGCTTCCCATCCAGCTCTCTTGTGGCCTGGGAATGCAGTGGAGGATGGCCCAAAACCTTGGGATCCTGTACCCGTGTGGGAGACCTGGAAGAAGCTCCTGGCTCCTGGCTTAGGATCGGCTTGTCTCTGGCTGTTGCGGCTGCTTGGGGAATGGATTGGTGGAAGGAAGATCTCTGTCTCTCCTCCTCTTTGTATATCTGACTTTACAATAGAAATAATAATAATAATAAATGAAATCTTTAAAAGAAAGAAAAAATGTAAGGAAAAACAATTGTTAGTATACATAAATGGTGGATCAGTAACTTCATTTTCCCTGAAATAATGTTACTAGAACCCCAGTTTTCTGAAATAATTAACATGTAAATGCTGTCTCTTTTCAAAATTATTTTTTTTACTATGTTTTGAATTTTTATAAAATATTTATTTATTTATTTATTTTGGGGGAAAGATAGATTTACATAAAGGAGAGACAGAAAGATCTTCCAGCCAGGGGAGGATTGGCCAATCAAGCCATCATGCCATGCCTCTTGAATTTTTAAGAAAAGATTGATTTATACATATGAAAGCTACAGTGACAGAAAGAGGGAGAGACCAGAGGTCTCCCACTCAATCCCCAGAGACTCCCAACAGCTGGGACTGCTCCTGGCTGGAACCAGCGCCTTGGAACTCCATCTGGTTTCCCCTGAGGGTGGTAGCAGCCATCCTCCACTGCTCTCCTGGTGTGTTAGCAGGGAATTGGATCAGGAATGGAGCAGCTAGGACTTGAACCAGCACCAATATAAAAGGCCAGCATTGGGATTGGTGGACTAATATGATGTATCAAAACACCAAGCCCTATGTTTTGATTTTAGCTGGCAACTAGTAATAGTAATTGTACGTATTTGTGGGGTGCAATATACTGTGTATGTGGCCGTGTGAATCATTCAGTCTACTGGTATATTCATAACCTTAAATATGTATCTTTTTTGTATTGGAAACATCCACACCCTCTCTAGTTATTTTGAAATGTAGAAAATGCTATTTCTTCAGTGTTTCGAAGATAGTCAATGGTAGATAAGGGAACAGTTTTTCGAAAATGTATATTTAGCAGTTCTGTAAATTGCCAAAATAGGTAGGCGTGGTTCCTTTTCTAGGCACTGAGAAAATATTCCGGATTATTTTAAGGGAAGCTAGAGTTGGATAATTCAGAAAAAGCAGTGAACATTAGTCATAAACACTGTTCATAAGGTTGAATTATTTTGTTTTACTCTGTGAAACTATTGGAAAGGCTCAGGCTTCAGAGCAAAGTGGTGATATAGTCTGATTTTTTCCACCCTCTGAGAAAGAAGAAAGTTCTGACAATTAACTTGTTTGTGTGCAAATATTGTGGGAATGGAATCTATTTCTTCCTTCCAGTGGAAAACAAAGAAGAGGGGTGATATTTTTGAGATCTTGAAACTCAAGTTATTTTAACACTTTCATTTTGTTGGTTGAAAAGCAATGCCAATTACCATTCTTTTTCTTTCCAGAAAGTTTAACATGTGATGATAATGCAGCTTGTCCATCTCTGTGGGTCAGCCAGAATCCAGAGGATGAGGCCTTTGCCCCTGGAAAGGAGCAGCCTGGGAATCCTGAGACCACAAGGTCTTTCCAAGAAAAGAAACTCTTAAATTTGGAAACCTCTGGGCTTTTCAGAAACCAGAAAACTACATGTAAGGAACCAGTCTTGCGCTCCAGGGAGAATAAGAAAGAACACAACACAGTGAAAGTCTCATTGCCAAAATCAGTTGAGAAAGTTGGACATCAGGTTCCAGCAAGGATTACCTACTTAAGGGATGGAGAGAGATATGAGGAGCCCGATGATTCTTTATATTTAGGAGAAGAGGACTATCAGGAAATTACTGGAATGCCTGAAGATGCAGAACCCGCTGTGACAGAGAGAAGTTTGGATGACCCAGGGCACATGGCACATGACAGCGAGGGCGACTCTGAAGATTCTGAAGCCGCAGAATTTTTTGGTGGAGAGCAGAGCTGTGAAGACTCAGAAACCAGCATTTGCTTGGAGGAGGAAGAGAAAAGTCTGGAAGGTAGGGTTGCGACGTATGTGTAGTTAGGTGGGTAGCAGCGTGAAGAGGCACTCAGAACTTAGGCAGTTGTTTTCCAGAGAATTCCAGGATTCCTTAGGGATACCAAACTCTGTAGAATGCTAAACATTACCTCGTCTTTGCATCGCGTCTATGCATGTTGTTCCTCCACATATTTTATTATTTCTTTCTTTATTTTAAAATATTTATTTATTTTCTTAAAAGATTTATTTGTTTTTATTGCAAAGTCAGAAATATAGAGAGGAGGAGAGACAGAAAGAACTTGTCTGATGATTCACTCCCGAAGCAGCCGCAACGGCCAGTGCTGTGCCAATCTGAAGCCAGGAACCAGGAATTTCCTCCAGGTTTCCCATGCAGGTTCTGGATCCCAAGGCTTTGGGCTGTCCTTGACTGCTTTCCCAGGCTACAAGCAGGGAGCTGGATGGGAAGCAGGGCGGTTGGGACTAGAACTGGTTCCTGTATGGGTTCCCGGTGGGTGCAAGGTGAGAACTTTAGTCACTAGGCTACTGTGCAGGGCCCAAAAGATTTATTTATTTTTATTGTAAAGTTAGATATACAGAGAGGAGGAGAGACAGAGAAGCTCTTTCGTCTGTTGATTCACTCCCAAGAGGCAGCAATGGTCAGAGTTGCACCGATCCAAAGTCAGGAGCCAGCAGCCTCTTTCTGGTCTCCCATGTGGGTGCAGGGTCCCAAGGCTTTGGTCCATCCTTCACTGCTTTCCCAGGCCACTAGCAGGGAACTGGATGGGAAGTGGGGCCCCTGGGATTTGAACCAGTACCCGTATAGGATCCTGGACCATGCAAGGTAAGGACTTCAGCCACTAGGTTCCTGAGTCGGGTATCTTCCATATACTTTAAATCACCTCTAGGATATTTTTTAACACCTTATACAATGTAAATAGTTGTTAGATTTTATTGCTTAGGGAATAATAACAATACAAGTATCTGTACGTGTTCAGTACAGATGTAAATTGCTTTTCAAATATTTTTGATCTGTGGTTGGTCGCATCTGAGAATGTGAAACCTATGACTACGAGGGGATGACTGTTTCAGCAAAAATAAATATTGATTGTGGGCTCATAGGCTTCTGTCATGACCTGCCATCTAACCCTTCACCTTGGGTGTTACCTTCCATTGTCCCGATTACACCATGTTACTCATTTTAGTGTCTATGTGAGCAGAGGCATGGACAACATAGATATGACCATTGAAGAGGAAGTACTTAGTAGACATGTTTAAGGTGAATGGTTTAAGATTCCCAAAGCTTGTTGCTTGGCTTGATCTAGACCTTAGTGTCTTTTTTATTTTTAAATGCTTATTTTATTTATGTAGAAGGCAGAATGACAGAGAGAAACGGAGAAACATTCATCTGCTCCTTGACTTTCCAATTGGCTCAATAGCGAGGGCTGAGCCAGACTGGAGTCAGACCAACTGAGCTCGTCTTCCACCTCGCCAGCAGGGGCCCTCACACTTGGGCTCCTTCTGCTGCTTTCCCTCTGCCTTAGTAGGGAACAGGATGGGGTGTTGGGCATCCAGACCTCTAACTGGTTCTCTGATGCAAGATACTGGAATCACAAGTCGTGAATTAGCCTGCAAGTGACAGAGTGCCACACCCCATATCATCTTTATAAAAAAATTATTTCAGTAGAGTATGTTTTTCCTTCTTAAGTTTTTTATTTACTTATTTAAGTTGAAATGCAGAGAGAGAGAGATCAGGTGGTATTTCATATTCTGGTTCACTGCTCAAATGTCTTCAATAGCCAGGGCTGTCTGAGGCTGACTGTGGGAGCTTAGAATTCCATCCACGTCTCCTTTAGGGGCAGTTGGGACCGAAGTGTTTGAGCTATCATCTGCTTCCTTCTAAGGTGTGCAAAAGGCTGGGCTGAAAGCAGAGTAGCCAGAATTCAAAGCAGCCTCTTCAATAGGGAATGTAGGCATCCTAAGTGATGTTAACTGCTGTGTCAAACACTTGTCCATCAACATGGTATCTTGAGTCTGAATATTTCTTCCTTTTTTAAAAGTCTTATTTATTTTTCTATTTCAAAAGACAGAATCACACACACACACACACACACACACACACACACACACACACACACACACAGAGAGATCTTTGTCTGTTAATTTGTTTCCCAGATGTCTGCAACAGCCAGAATGAGGCTGGCACAAAGGAGCCAGGAGCTTTTTTTCCAGGTGTCTCATGTGGGTTCAAGGATCTGAAGACTTGGGCCATCCTCTGCTGCCTTCCCAGATGTATCAGCAGGCAGTTGGATCAAAAGTAGAGTGGCTGGGACTCAAACCAGTGCCACAAGAAATAGCTCTGCCCACTATACTACAGCACTGACCCCCCCCCCCGAGTATTTTTATGCAAATTCAAACCATGAGAAATGCTTCATTTGGAAAGAGTTTGCTGGGGCTCTTATAACAACAGGCCACAGAGTGGATGACTTCAATACCAAATAATAGAAATTAATTAACCTAAAGTCTGAGGTCCAGGCTCTGGCAGGATGGTTTCTCTAGCCAGCTGAGCAGTTGTGACAGCCCCAAATGAAAGATTGCTCTATGGTGAAATAAAAGAATATAACAAGAATGCCATTATATTTCAAAATAATTAAAAAAATAAAACCACATTTCGTCTGTCTGAATTACAGGGAGAGGAAAGTGAAAGAGATCTTCTAACTACTGGTTCACTCCCTAACTTGCTGCAACAGACACAACTGGGTCAGGCCAAATCAGGAGCCCAGGACTTGATTTACGTCTCTTACAAGTGTGGCAGGGACCCAAGCACTTTGGCCATCTTCTGCAACTTTCCCAGACACGTTAGAATGGAGCTGGACTGGAAGTACAGTAGCTGGAACTCAAATCAGTGCTCATTTGTATTGCTGGTATGACACGTGGTAGCTTAACTTGCTACATCATGATGTGGACCCTTAGTGTGATAGCATTTATGAAAAAATAAAACAGCGTCCAGTAAGCAAAGCTGTGTTTCTGCATATCCTTGCATACTTATGTGTTTGCATAGAGAAAGAATGGGAAACAATATGCAGCACTGTATTTATGCTCTGTTAGAAGCCTACAAGAAATGGCAAAGTGGGTAAAAGGGGACGGACTTTCACTTTCTTTGCATTGTTTCATCTCTCTCTCTCTTTTTTTTTTTAGTGAAAATAACAATTATTTCTGTCTTAAAAGTCAGTGGAGGAAGAATTAGACTCTGAACATGGTATTCACTGAGTATCTTCTCTCCTACAGAAAGAAAAAGGGTATTTAAAGATGTCCTGTCACATTTGAACATGGATAGAAGCAGAAAACTTCTGCCAGAGTCTGTCCACCAGTTCTCCTTAGATCGAGGAAACAGGTGGAACCCCAAGACTGCAGGAGACTTAGCTTGGGATTTCTTGATGAAGGTTCAAGCCCTGGATGTGACAGCCAGAGATTTAGTCCTCAGGCATACGCTTGTAGATGAAGAAAACCAAGAGGAATCACCAACTGGAGTGCACAAGTTGGAAACGCCAGGCACCCAAGCCATCAATCCCCTGGATGTCATTTGTGCCTGCATGCTGTGTGCAGGCAACGCTTTGCAACGTGAAATCATGTCAAACATGTATCAGTGCCAGTTTGCTCTTCCCCTGCTGTTGCCAGATGTAGAAAACAACAGAAACATCTTAATGCTGGGGGCCATGAAGGACATTGTGAAGGGACGGTCGACACGGTCCTCAGGAAGCCCCATGCGGGACACTGAAACATCTCTGGCTGGCATGAAGATGCCTGTCATTTCCTTTGTGCGTCTGGGACACTGTAGCTTCTCAAAGTCCAGAATCCTCAACACACTGTTGAGCCCTGCCGAGCTGGAACCACAGAATGTATTTCTGCACCAGGATTTGGCTGTTTTGGTGCTTCCCCGGCAAATTTCTGATGGCCTGGTAGAAATAACGTGGTGCTTTTCGGATAACATCCATTTAATGGAAAACTCGAGTTTCTTGCAAAAGCCTGTGGCGATAGCCAACCTTCGTGGCGATTTAGAGAGCTTTTGGACACAGTTTAGTTTTCTGATGGAAATTTCCTCAGCTGTGTTTTTTTTCACTGACTGCTTGGGTGAGAAGGAAAGGAACCTGCTCATGTTTTTAGGAGAAACAGCCATGAAAAGGTGCTGCTACTTTGTTCTCAGTCCTCAGGCCAAGGAGACTGAAGAGGCTCAGATTTTCCAGAGGCTCCTCAAACTGAACCCATCACAGCTATTGTTTTGGGAAGGAGAGGAACATGCAGACAGGAGGGAGAACATGAAGGGTCTTCAAGCTGCCCTCCAGGAAGTGATGTCCTCGTCACTCAAGTGTGTGTCTGTGGAGGACATGGCTCCCCTGGCCAGGGAGTTGGGAATTCATGTAGACCAGGACTTTGAGAACGATCAAAGAAGTCAAGTTTCTTCTAATAAGCACATGGCTGGAATAGCTGAAGGTGATGGTCTGCAAAGCTTATCTGAGACCCAAGATAAGATGCCTCATAGAGAGCCTGGGGCTAGACATGAAATGAGTCAGAATGGTCAGAATTTTCACCACATCCCAGTATTCATGTCTCCTGGAGGGAACTCCCAAGCCTTACTAACCAGAACTGGAGATAACTCTAATCAAGTTTCCTTGAAAGTCCCCATGATTGTGGGCTCCCGCCTTGGATCGGAACAGAGTTCTAAATGGTTCTATTCTGTCTCCCTTCAGAATACAAGGGCCCATGCCCAACGTACAAGTTTGGGCACTCAATGCTTCCAACCCCAAATATTTCATTCAGAGGCAAGACTCATGAACTTTTCAAGAAGGGCTCAAGGAAATCCCTCTGATGGAATACTTGGGAGGCCACCCATTCCCATTTTGCCGTCAGTATGGGCCCTTCCTCAGAGAACACAAACAATGGGAGCTGGGGCATTGGTCTCCCAGGTGGGTCACTCTAATTCTCTGGGTTTCCAGCTGGCAGGAGCTGGCAGGAAGCCACAGCCTGGGCAAGCTTGTGCCCGAGGAACACAGCTGACTAAGGCAGCTGACACATATAGGAGAATAACCTCTGATATTAAAGAGCCTCATATCTTCCAACCAGCAGGAACAAAACCTCTTCCTCAGCAAAGTGCCCAGCTAACAATACAAAGGTGGCCTTCAAATCCTGCTCTTTCAACAGGATCCTATTCTATCACTGAGAACAAACTTTCACCCAGCTCTCAGTCCAAATCCCATCAGCCCATGCCATCCCAAGGAGTCCAGCTTTTCCAGTCTAAATCTTCTTCACCTGTGTTGTTCCAAACTACACAGGAAAACTCCTGTCAGCCCCAGCCCTCCCATGCTGGACCCGCTCTACCCAAAGTCACTCAGCACAAGCCACACCGGGCTCACCCCTCTCAAGATAAACCTCCCCAGCCCAGATTCAGACACAGTCAACCCAGCTCATCTCAGATTGGTTCTTCAAAGAGCAAAGCAAAGAGTCACTCAAGAGCAAGACCCAAGAGGGCTGGGAGGCATTAAAGTGCCTTAGTCTAGGGATTGTATAGGCCACTCCCAGCCCATAGCAACCACAAGAGAAGTTCCTGTCCTTGGCCTGACATGACAAAGCAGATGCAAGGCTCACCTGGATATCATTCATGATATCTGCATAACTGTTGTATCCACCACCAAGAGGAAAATACAAAAGTGATTCTGAGTAGAACTCAATAGTAACCAAAAGAACTGAATCCGCAGCCTTGAAAGCTGGTTAATGTATAACTTGAATCCAGGGCATGAGGACTGTGAGATGGCTCCATTTGAAGAAAACTGAAGTTGGGGTCTCTTGTTGAAGGGCTGCCATAAAGAGGGCTCCGGTTGTCTCACTGTTGTGAGACAAAGTGCCTTTGATGTTGGCTGCTCTGGAGGAGACCTGATCAAGTATCAGCCACTGGAAAGATAACCTGCTTTGGGGATGATGACATCAACTTGTGCTAATATGGAGGCAGTCTCAGTTGGCTTGGATAATAAAATTCTAACAACCAGTAAAATGAATTATTTTGCATTTACTTGAAGAATGACCCGCATTTGTTTCATATGTTGAATGTAACAGTTAAGAAAATATGGTTTATTAGAAAATGTTGTATATTAGTCTCACATTTTTAATTGTAAAACATATTGTATTTTTATTTTAGGGTTGTGATTTGGAATTGAACAGATTGAGAAATTTCCGAAGTTTGTAAAAAGAACTAGAATGCTTAACATGATATAAGACACACAAAATTTATCTCCTGAACACTTAAAAAAGATTTATTTTTATTTGAAAGGCAGATTTTTAGAGAAAGAGAAAGAGGGATGGTTCACTCCCCATTTGACTGCAATGGCCAGAGCGGAGCTGATCTGAAACCAGGAGTCAGGACATACTTCCTGACATCCCACATGGGTACAAGGGATCAAGTCCTTGGGCCATCCCCTGCTGCCTTCCTAGGCCATAAGCAGGGAGCTGGATGGGAAATGGAGCAGCCAGGAACCAACTGGTACTTAAATGGGATGCCAGTGCTTGCACTTGGAGGATTAGCCAGTTGAGCCAGTAAGTTCTGCTAGTTAGAAGCCTTAAGTAAAAAGAATGCATTAAATTAAAAATATTTAAGTGAGGCTTAATTAGCTGTTTTGGATGACACCACTGCCAAGTCCCTATTTTTCACAAAGATAAATTTCTCAGATATGGTAGAGGGTGGATAAAGTGGAGAGTGGGTCAGGAGGTTAGCGTGTGCGTGCTCTCTGAAAGGCCCACAGTCCCTATCCAGTGTCTGTGAAACGTCCTTGGTCCAAAGCAAAGATAAAATTTGACTACTGCCTGCCTTGGCTCTCTCTCCTTCCTCCCACAAATGGATTGCATGAAGGGATGGGGTAGGAGAGCAGGAATTGCTACTCAGTTAGTATTGCTTCAGCTATCCCAACAGAAGAGTACCTTGGGTACTGGGCACAGAGTGCCAGGCACAGCTTGAGAAAGGCAGGTGTAAGTGGGGATCAGTGAGTAGCAGTGAGTTTGGATGGAGAAGCCCGAGAGGGTGTTGTGGAAGGCCTGTGTAGGGACAGCCCAAGAACAGCAGAGGTGACCTCTAACATTTTATCAAATCAGAGCCATTTTCCTTCTTTATAAATTGAAAGCTTCAATTTTTTTGTGCCTGATAGAAATCGTGTTTTTTTATGCACTATTGTATGATACTTTGATTCATATATATGCTATGTGTTTTTCAAATCAGGAAGAATGCATCTGTCTCCTCAAACATTTATCTTTTTTTTTTTTTTGGTGATTGATGAAAACATTCAGAATCCTTTTTCCTAGCCTTTTTAAAATATAAATATACAGTTATAACTTGTGTGTTCACCAATTTTCTCTCTTACCCTCCTACTATTTCCAACCTCTGGCATCTACCATTCTGTTCTCTCAACTTTTATGAGATTAACTTTTTAGATTTCACAAATGAATGAGAGAATGTGGTATTTGTTCTTCTGTGCCTGATTTATTTCTGAGAGTCTGTTTCAAAGAGGGAAGGATGCTTTCATGCTCTTTCACTATCTATGTTAGCGTAAACAATCATTGGCAGAGATAGTTCATTTTATCTGAAGTTCCAGAATTGATTTGGGGTTGAGTGGACAGGAAAATTCCACTCATCAGGAAGCAACAGTAAACAGTGCAAAACCATAGTTTTGTTCAGGGAAGTATTATTTTTAATAGTAGCATGCTCTGCGTATTGCATCGGTTCCTGTGTATCATTAAACACTGTTCTTTGTTTACTGACACTACAGACTCAGTCACAGTGTACTGATCGCATTAGGAAAGACCAACCCTTAGGGTGTGGTAGGCACCAAGGCATTTCTTCACCCCCCTAGGATCTCTTACAGCATTAGCCAACTGTGTCATTTCGGAAATAACACATACTCTGGCCCTACATGGCTCTTACCGTCTCAGATTAGAATTTCCAGGGTCAGGCCCAGGGTGATGGCTCAGTGGTTAAATCCTTGCCTTGCATGATCCAGGGTCTCGTATGGGTGCTGGTTCATGTCCCAGGGGCTCCACTTCCCGTTAAGTTCCCTGTTGTGGCCTGGGAAAGCAGTCAAGGATGTCCAAGGCCTTGGGACTCTACACCCACGTGTGAGACCTGGAGGAGGTTCCTGGCTCCTGGCTTTGAATTGGCGCAGCTCCGGCTGTTGTGGCTACCTGGGGCATGAACTAGCAGGCGGAGGATCTTTCTGGATATCTGCCTTTCCAATAAAAATGAAGAAATAAAAAAAAAGTTCCAGGATCCTTAGGTAGCACTAAACATGCTGGCATTTTTTTAGCTTTATCTCACATTCCTTATTTTAGCCTAATTTGAAATTTTGTCTTTAGACCAATTAACTGCAAACTCATATTCATTTTTTTTTTGTTTTTTGAAATTTTTTTTCTAATTGGAAAGTCAGATTTATAGAGGGAGGGAGAAACAGAAAGATGTCCTCAGGGTCTTCTGGACATAGCTCTTTTTAGCATGATTTTCCAATTTCCTTCTAAGCCTTTGAGAAGCTGTGTGTAGAATTAAAGCTGGCAACTTTGAATGTTCATTGGAGTCCTGGTGTTTTCATGAGCTGGGTATGTTGGTAGATCTTATGTAGTCTTCACAACGGCTTTATGGGGTGTACATTGCCAAGGCAACTTCTTTGACAACAAAACACTCAGGAGATGAGGGGATTAACTCAACAAGCTGAAATTGGAAGTAAATATTCTTGTAGCCCGTGCCATGCATGTTCCCCGAACAGTCCTGGTCGTGTCTTGTCTGTGTGGTAGCTTTCTTCCTCTCATTCCCTACTACCATGTGATCTTGCGCATTTTGAGAAAAAAAGAAGCTGAAAGTGGCTCCAATACAAATATTTTCAGATTTTGCATACCTTCCTCCCCCAGCAGCTCCCACAACTTTCCAGGACTCTAAAATTCAGAAAAATGTCACTATACTGCCACCTTCTGGATCCATTGAATGCTTACATATTAATGACCACAAATAGTTAAGTTGTATTCAAGTCTTTCCTACCATGGGACTGACATATTAAACTGTGTAAATAATGCTTTTCTTTGAAAAATAGAGGCAGTAGCATATCTTCCATAGTTGATTAGGAAATTCCTTTTTAAAAACTTAACACAAGAGCTGATATCATGATTCAACAGACTAGTCCTCCATCTCCAAGTGCCAGCATCCCAAATGGGCATAAATTCGGGTCTGGACTGCTCTGCTTCTGATTCAGCTCCTTCCTGAGGGCCGGGAAAAGCAGCGGAGGAGATCCGGAACAGGCTCCTGGCTTTGGACTGGGAAAGCTCTGACTGTTGTGGCCATCTGGGGAGTGAATCAGCACATGGAAGAAAGATCTTTCCCTCTCTGTCTCTTCTCTCTGTAAATCTGCCTTCCCAATTAAAAAAAAAATCTTTAAAGCCTAACACATATCAAGTATGGAGGCCAAAAGTAAATTCAATCAGAGGTCAATTGTTTCTGTTTACAGGTAATGGAGAGAAACATACTTGACCAATTAATTACCACAGACAATCCCACAGCCTCTTTTTGGCCACTAATTTCAAGCTCTTCCATTTCTTCCAGTTAAAGTTTTTAAAATTAATATTTTAGCAAATAACATTTTTTGGGGGGGGGGGTAAAAAAATCAGTCCACTGCTGGGGAGTGCATAAATTATAGTAGCTTTTTTGGAAAGGAAATGGGATTATATTTATAAAATAAAGTACATGTTACTTTTGACACAGAAAATCTACTTTACGATCTCACTGTACATATATTCCTACTATGGTATGCAAAGATGTGCAATTACAAAGCATGCATAACCTTCATTTTATCAAAATTAGAAAAACCCAAAATGTTCAATTAAGTGATGTTACTATACCGATGCAATATAATCCTATGTAACTGGTTAAAAAGAATGGTGTGAATGTGCCAAAACAATAACTTTACTGTAGGATTTTATAACATGTTTTAAATCGTTGAACCTGGATCTGGGAAATGTTATGGACAATAAGTACTAATGGCAGATGCATATGCAGCAAAATTACATTTTGGTCTGTTCTACTAGAAGATTCATTTATTTTTACTAGAAATGTAGATATTTGCACATAGAAGGAGAGACTGGTTCACTCCCCAAAGGGCCATGACAGCCAGAGCTGAGCTGATCCACATCTGGGAGCCAGGAACTTCTTCCAAGTCTCCCATCCGGGTGCAGGGTCCCAAGGCTTTAAGCCATCCTCTTCTGCTTTCCCAGGCCATAAGCAGGGAGCTGGATTGGAAGTGGAACAGTCAGGACACCAACCAACGTCCATATGGGAAAGTTGGCACTCGCAAGTGGGGGATTAACCTGTTGAGCCACCATGCTACCCCACAATCAGGACTCGCTTCAACTGGAATTCTGTTAACATTTCCCAGCTGGAACATTTGCTTGAAGCGAAAAAGAAATTTCTAAGGCTAAACTTTTAGGCTTCATGAGAAAGAAACAGCTGGGTCAGAAGTGTCTGGAAAGGATGACTGAAGGTGCATAGAAATCGGGGAAACTTTTTGTTTGGAAGAGACATGAAACTAAAGCGGAAGACAGAGCTGACAAATATGGGGAAGTTTTTCAGTGAATTTATGTTACCGCCAACTCAGGAGAAAATTGCTGTAATATATCCTGAACAGACCCTTTTATTACCCGGGAGCTTAATTCATCAGTGACATTGTTTCCACATATTTTCTGAAGCTGATCTCAGTTGAGATATAAAATGCTTTAGAAATCTAATTTTAGTTATGGATAGATCATATTTTTTGTATTCTTGCTGAAGAAACTTGGGTGAACTTAGGGTCAATTTCATTCTTTGTCTCTGATATGACATAAGCAATCACTCAGTGGATTTACTGGTTATGAGAGTGAAAATTCTAGAGATTTAATAAGCTTTCACTTTTAGCAGGGGCTTCATTCACATACCTTATAGTACTTTTCTGAGGGCTCACATCAACAAATGAGAGAGAATTTTAGCTACCAGGTCAACTATTGCAAAAATGCTCCAAGTGGTAACTAGAGAATCAAATGCAGAGTCTAGCTGGTACAATGACAGAAGGACAAAATGAAAGCATTTAGAATTA